TAAATGGTATTTTATCCATAATATTGAAAATTACAAGAGGGATGCATTAAAGGTGTCTCTTAACATCCTATCTTTTCTTTTTATTATCAATTTACTAAATGCAACCATCAAAAAAGAAGTCTTAGAGGACCAGATCTCTAGCATATGGCTACAATTAGAGGATTGTCAACAACTTATAGCTCGATATGTTGACAATACATCCTTCACTATAGCAAAGAAAGAAGTGTCAGCTTGAGCTACCGTACATACTTTCAAGTTATTTTGTCTTGAATCCTCGTTAATCATCAATTGGCACAAATCTAGCAGTTAATAAAAAGATGTCACCTCTTCCAACCACCTTCTTTAGAATAATCAACTCAAAATATCCAAGTTTATGATGTTTTTATTATTAAGTTTTTATGAACTTTATTTGGCATTTCTTTTTTACAAAAAAATGTCAATGATATCTTAAAATAAAAGATTGATAAGAAAGTGAGATATTGGAATATAGCTCAGGTTAATTCCATAGGTTGGAGGGTGATAGCCAACAAAGTACTTCTCTCCTCCATTTTTTTTTTTTTTTTTTTTTTTTTTTTTTTTGCATCATTAGAAGATGATACAAAAATTGCAAACTCAAAACAAAGACTAATATCCAAAGTTTCATGTTGTTAGGATCAATGTATTGCACCAAAGTAAAATATTGTGGCTGTAATATTGCTACTTCAAGGAGAGCTAAAGTGTAGATCTAATCAATATGCAGGATGTCCTAACTTTACTTATGACTAAATGGGTTCTTAAGGGGTGCAAACTCAACTCCTCAAATCCTCATGTACTAATCTATTTTAAATTCATATACTTTTAATTCTACTCAGGATATTAATGGATAGATAGTCTTATTTATTTTATTCAACCTAAATTTTAAGCTAAATAAGGCTATAAGATTTAGAATTAAATTGATTATTTGTGACGGCCTTTGATAAATGCTATCATTTGAGTTCAACCACGCTTCTTTGATGAGCTTATAAGTAAGTCACTATAATGGTCGACATTTTTTTTCCAGATCAATGTTGGATTCTTTAAAACAAAGACATTATAGTTGTAGCGAGTAAATCTTACGTATATTAGAGATATCAACCTCATAGATTATTTTCTCTCAATTGTTGAAACTACAAAGCAATATGATATTTTGCCCTCCAAAAAGAGAGCTTAGGATATGATTATCTAAAACTTTAGACATTTCTAAAGATAACTTCTAAACACAACCTAAATTAATTTGATCAACTAAAAATGGATGATGTGTCTTGTAGGAGATTTCAATAGTCTACCTAGATATATGTTCAAATATGTGATCAAACTGCTTATCTCTATTGGATGCCTTCCAAGAGAATGGCTAATCACAAGCAATTCACCCATGTTCTTAATCTTACTAATATTACAATGCCTCATTAAGATTTCACCTCCTTGTCTAATCTATAGCAAATGTCTTTATTTTATTGCCATCTAAGATACTTTTTGCCAAATACAAGTGGTAAAAATTGCTTGTAGATTCCAATATTATGGACAGACATATACAAATTCATACCCCAAGAAGCATCATTAGCTGGACAAGGACTCTTCAATTCTCTTCATGAATTATTTTACTAAATTTAGTAGAATCATTTTGCAACAAAGATATATTGCCTCCAATGTAATAGAACATAAGCAGCAATACATTATGCCATTGGACTTAAGATTACAATGGTTGTCTGTGTGAGTTAAAGATCATATGTTAAAAGTAGGGCTCCTGTGGCTAGTATGGCAGAAGACAATAGTTGTAAACTTATGGTAAAGAAGAATAAGCGCAATCATTAATATACTCTAATCAATTTGTCTTAAAGAATTAAAAGAATTAATTCTCCATAGGATTTGGAAATGCCCTTCAATGCACAAAGCATGGCAATAAAACATCCGTATCATGAATGTGATACTCACATAGAGAGAAACCCAAAGTCCATAGGCAATGTTGACCTGAAATCCAAGTTCTTTTTTGATTGATTTCCACGAAAGTTCTACACTCTTAATCAACTTTGGATTGCACTCCAAACAATCATTCTCTGGTCTCTATAATTTAAACAAAATAATGCACCCTTTAACCATATTTATTGGCCATTGGAAAAATTATTCCAAAAAACTTGGCTTAGCTTCATCAACTATGGAAGAGTGGATTAGGAGTGGATCCTAATCCAAAGCAAATACTTGCCAAACAAAAATGCCAAGAACATCCAAAGCTTTGCAGATTGATGGTGCACTAAACAAGTTTTTGCAATAATGGTAGATGGCCACCTACATTGGATGTTATGTGGGCCCGTTCAGGGATTTGTATTCCAACCTGGATAGCAGCCTTTTACTTCCCGCCCCTTACAGGCCATGGTTGAATGATTACTCTACTAACTTATAGCTAGATAGCACTAACTACCACTAACTCTAAGTCTGTCAGTCCCCTCAGGCTACATACAGTCGACCCATTGTAATACATCTTTTACTTGCAATGAAAGTCTTTACATTTGTGTCAAACAACATAAATAAGTAAATAAATAAATCCAAAGGAACAGCTCTATAATGAATCCTAAAGGAACAGGAGAAAAAACAGAGGGGAAATACGTCGAAGGGATGTCTCTCTCGGATTCCAAGGAATAGCTCAAAAGCAGAACTTCGAGTAGCAGCATCATAATAGTCAGAAAAAACTTTGCCTCGGTGCTTAAGGCCACGGCTTGAACATATGCATAAGCATGGGGAAGGGCGTGCCAAGTGTCGAGGTATCACTTGCAAGCCATCCATTGGCCCTTATCGCTCTGCCTTGTATCTCTTTCATTTCTGGATGCTACCTTATCACCAACATTCAGTGGTTGGGTGCAGGCCTCTCAGGCTGCGCCACTTGGCCCCGTTGAGGAGCGCCAGCACATCGCATCCCGGTTTCCATTTTCAGGATCCATCTCCCCCGCACCGCTTCCTGAGGTGAAAACCTGACACTCCCTTTTCGTCCGCTCTCACCGCAAAATCCAAAACCCCCCGCTCGCTGTCTCCGACAACAATGCGTCGACTCGGGCAGAGTTGCAACCCATCCATCCTCTTCGTAATCGGTGCTCCTCTCGCGGCACGCTCGCATCACCCACTCCTCATCAGCTCCTCCGCTATGGATACCGAGAAGAGGTGGTTCTGCGAATTAGGATTTGCTCCGTGGATTTGGTCGCAACTGAGGTGCTGCCCTTGAGGGAGTGAAGGGACGGCCACGCTTGGATCCAGGGTCTAGTGTGAACGGGGCCCTCCTTCTGAGGCCTTTTTGTGGGAACCCAAACTCCTTTCGTCCCATTTTCTAGCTGACCTGTGTCTTGCTTTCTAATTATTTACTTGAACCAGTTATGTTGATTGGTTAGTCAGCTGAATGCGGTAAATGGGATGTGGTTGCACATGATATTGGTTGCCCATCTATTTATGTATTTTGAATTTGTTGTTGGTGATATGTCTTTTGCTACAAAGACATACTTCGACATGATTTTTTGTTTTGGAGTGCTTTTCCAAACATACTGAATGTGCACAACCAACAATCTTACAATACAACTATATATATATATATATATATATATATATAATTTTTTATCTAACAGCTTATTTAAATCTAATCACTGCAAACATTCCAATTAATGTTGTAAAATTGTACTTGTGATCCTATTTAATTTGTGAATGACCACTTACCGACTCTGTATGTATGTGTGTGTATGTATATATATATATATATATATTACATTTGTAGAATGATGACAAATCAAAATCAAATTACAAATCCTTGTCACCTGTTCATATATATATATATATATATATAAATTGCAAAGGGAAAACACAATCAAAATCCAAGTGTTCTGTATGAGTTCCTTACACATTTAATTTATTTTTACCATATGTGCAACAATGGATAGTGAAAAATAACAATGTAGGTAGAGGAGCTGGAGGCAAAAAGTGCCAAGATTTGACAAGTTGACAAAACATGAACAATCTTGTCTATGTATCTCACAATGAACCAAAAATTTAATTGTATGTGTTGCAAATTAGATCAATTACACGACATGAATTACAAATGGACATTCTTAAGATTCAAATTGCAATCAAGATTTATTTTAAATCAACTAACAATGAATAGTAAGAAAAAGAAGGGAATTGTTGAAATTGATCCAAGCATGTACTAAATTGACCCACTTATCATCATTGGTTGAGGATCCAACCATTTTTTCATTGGTTTTTGACCAATGTGGATCTAACAATGGAGAATTTTATAATGATGGTCAGGATAGCTGGGTTGATTTGGTAAATGCTTGGGTCAATTTAACAATTCCCCTTAAAGAATAACCACTTGGAACTGAGAAATTGTTCTTTGAATGGAAGTCTTTTAGGGAGTGTTCATTCAATTGGAGGCTCTGAAGTATCCCTCATAGTAATTTTACCTTAGATAATTAAAGGAATTTAACTAGACTTTGATTTTGAGGTTGGTATATATATATATATATATATATATGTATGTATATTTTTTTGAAGAACCAACAGTTAAAGAGCATTGCACACACATGTGACCCATAATTCAAATCCCACTTGATACATTTCAACCTTGATTCCCAAGCCAAGTTGAAACAACGACTTTTCAATGAAATCTTTGATATTAAAATTTACATTACACAATTCAACCCCTAGATCCAAGCAAGCAGCACAGAAAAAATCAACAGTGAGCACAACCTCTGTTAGTATTCTGGTGAGACAGTAAAAAATCCGGGTTCACACCTGCAACTTACTCATCGAAATCCTAGTCCGTTGCTGACAGCGACGGTCAGTTTCACAATCCACATGTATATTTTTTAAATTTCCGTTGTGCCCCCTGCCTGCTGCCCGCCGAGCACGGGTGGGGCTTGACCCGTCTGCCCGAGGTGTTCCGGATCCAGGGGGCCCGTCTCTGGACAGGTCCCCGTCAAAGCCCTTGAATGGGTATGGAACCTCTTTGTAACGCAGCTGGTCTGCCCTGGGCGAGAGAGAGAGAGAGAGCGCGGGCGCGCGCACGCGCGCGAGACCGAGACAGAGACAGAGGATGGGGAGGCAAGTTGTTGTTGTTGTAATGTGAGAGTGAGCCTGCAGGGAAGTTGTTGATCGGGAGCTCCCATTTCGGTGTGGGAGGCCGCTACTCAGGGGCTTCATTGTGGTTTGCCGTGCTATTCCACCGTCGTTGCCCGTCTTGTTTGTTGCGATTTCGATCGAAGATTACAGGATTGGTGACCTGAGGCGGTGTTTGTTGTTGGAAGATGGGGCCGTGAAGCCGGGAATAGTGACGAGACCAGGGAGGTTTTGGTGGTGGCGGCGTCTTTGCCTGATTAAAAGGCCGTTGACATAAGCGCGAGATCTGTAACTAGTGTGATAGAGCACCCCCCGAGGTGTTTGGCTTGTTATCAAGAAGACCAGTTGTGGTGCGGGGTCGTAGTTTGGTGGAAGCTTTCTCGTTAATTATATTCCAATTTCCCTCCGTGCTCTTGTTCTCGCTCAACGTGAACTTTTTGGAGCACTTGATGCTATTCTTGCGGTGACTTCCATGAAACTGGTAACGGAAGTCTACAGATTGCATCGTTGTTGACGTGCGAGTATCACAAGCCCTTGGATGAGGATCATGTAGTTCACTTGCAGGTAACCTGTGCATTCGCTGTCCTGATCTTTCTTTGAATCTGCAAGGGCATATTATTTCGGTTGGCGTTACCGTCCACCTTTCTCTGTACCTTCGCAACATTTGTCCTTAGGACTTGTGTCCGTAACATTGGACTATATCACATGCGCATTTCCTGCTAAATATTCTGCAGGACATGGACGTAGCTTCTGTTGGAAGTTTTATTATCCTTGATACTGTCTCTAGTTTTTTGGAAACCAGATTGTGTTTCAATTATTATCTACAGTGGCTAGTTGCCAGTCAGTGATTGTAGGGATTAAAATATGTAAGCACTTTTGATAATGGTTCTTAACCAGGGTTTCTATTGAGAGCCGCTATACCTCCTGTCTATGATAGCGTCTCGTCTAGCTTTGAGAAAAGGACTTGTCAAATTTTTCAGTGTTAACAGAGTTCGTTGGATAGCCTGATCCTACCGTAGCAGAATCCTTTCGCAAAGACTTGTAGACCTGTTGTGTCCAGTTTAAGGAGTGTTGTACTGAATTGGAAGATGCTTAATTGTTTTATGGGCCATGGTATTGATCACATCTCGGTCATGTGTTTTTCTTTTTCTTTTTTAGACGGAACAGCTGAAGTTCCCAGTGATAATCCTCAGATATTCACGATTATCTGTTAAAAAGAAGTCTCGCGAGGTTGTATTCGATATCCTCAGCACTACTGGGCTGATTCGGAAGGAAAATCTTCCTCTGGTTTCTTTTCGATAGTGCATGGCAAATGCTTTGCACTTGGATTTTCCAGAGAGGCTTTAGAAGTTTCAACTGTGGCATAACTTCCCACCGAATGCACTTGCCGCTCGGGAACAGAGGAGCTATAGTTCTGCACTCACCTCTTCCAAGACGATATCTCTAGTGGGACGTCAGCAAAGATTCCCATCAAATGCGCTCCCGGATAATGTCAGAAAGGCGAGGGAGGCTATTATGAGCTTGAGATACCGAAGATGGTAGAGATATCTTCCACTTGCAGTCCATTAGAGAGTCCTGGTCATGATAATGCTAAATATGCTGAATGCTTGACTTGCGGGGTCCATCACAATTCTCGCTTCTAACGTTTTGGCTTCGAGGATCTGTGTACCTTATTCTATTCCAAGTTGACATGAGGATGTTCTGTCTTGCCATGGTTGCTAAAGATTCTGGATGCAGATGATGTAAAGATGCTCATTACTTGTCGGTGCGGTGTTTCTGTACCAGGTGCTCCTATCGAGTGTGGAAGCTTACCAGCAAGATCGGTTGGGGTTGTTAAAGAGGTCGGAGCCTTTGAGGGAGCCGACGGGGTTACGCAGTTGGATTGACATACCTCTTGGGCTTGAAGATTACAGACACTGTGCCAGTACGTTTGCATGCAACAAAGATGACCAGAATTTTGACATGCGAGGGTTATCCAGAATTGGATTTCCTAATCCAACTATCAACCTTGAAATCCAAGGCATTGGGGATTTCTATTCACAAGCTAGATCTCCAGTGGCGTCTTATTCTTCTGGCACGTCCAACGATTGCAACTCTGCTGGTACATCTACCGTGGACAGCACGGAAGATGCGTCGTTGTCTTCATATTTAATGGATGGTAATGTGCGGGCTATGCTCAAGAAGGTTACTGTTAATGAAGGCGTTCTCAACCAGACCATTCAGAGTTTAGGAGGAGGAGAGAAGGGTCTGAAGGAGCTCATGGCGTATATCATGGCATGGGTGAAGGAACAGAACGGTGAGAATTGCGATAAGCTATTTCTGTCTCAGAATTTGGAGAAGTTAAACCCGCCTCAGATGAACCCCACCTTCGGATTTGCTCCTAGTCTGGCCAACAATATCCCCACTTGTAACCTCACCTTAGGAACTGCAGCATGTGATCAAAGAAGCGACAATTTGCGTCGCACATTCGACACTGTTCAGTCTTCAGACGATACACAAGATTTGAACCAAGTCATTCAGTGCAGCAAGTCACGCCGGTTGATGGTTGAGGGCGAGGTTGACAGTAGTTATCGCGCCGACGCTTATCCTCGTCAGGGCACTTTCTTAAATGCAAGGGGTAGTGTATCGGAGGATTTTCACTCTACTAAACTCGAATCAAACATGACAAACCCCAGCCCTATTGATGCCGTCGTGTTACAAGGAATGTCTTCTGAGCTGGGTACTTTAACACAGCAGGCGCCTTGCTCACAGTTTGGTCTTTCCTTCAATCCTGGACAGAATGAATTGAATCGTACGTTGGCTGCAAGCACAAGGGCAGCGAGGAGGAACCGATTATCGCGGCAAAGACAATCTGTGCAACAGAGTCACAGACGGTCACCAACTAGTGGAACTACAGTGACTTCAGGAGGATGTGGCCTATGGTCAGCCTCCCCTCCTGCATTGGATTTCATGAACACGCGATGGAATCATCCTGGGACACAGATGCCACTCGGAGCTTCTGTCAAAAGCGAAAAGAAGGGTAATACCACGGACATGTTGACCTTTTTGCTTCAAAAGGAGCTTCGACCGAGTGATGTCGGAAATCTTGGACGCATCATCCTTCCTAAGGTTAGTGAGCTCTGTTTTGCATTCTCGCTTGGTTAACTTACTGATTCACTTCCGTCTGTTCGTTGCCCTTAGCGAATTGATCATCTCATTGGTGTGATTTGCAGAAAGAGGCGGAGGTTCACTTACCGATTCTTGCCTTGAGAGAAGGCGTTTCCCTACTTATGGAAGACTTTGACTCCGGATATTGTTGGAACATTCGATACAGGTGCGTTTCCGTTGCAGCTGTTTGGGCCATATAGCTACTTACATGAATCAGGTCCTGAAAGTTTTAGTCCAAATTGTCCATTTCAATTTCAATTTTAATTTTCGTAGTTCATAATTTAAAACCTTAATTCACATCTTTTCTATGTTGATGTCGGCGTCCTTATTCCTTTTCGTTATTTGTCGTGTGTGGTTTTGTTAAAAGTTAAAGTAGTTCAGGATCTCTATGGTTCAGGAAGTTCTGTCCGCTTGAAAGCTCTAAGCTTTCAACCCACTGTCTGCCTTCCCTGATCTTCTTTTAAGTATCTGTGAAGGTGTTGGTGTAGTTTTATTTTATTTTTTTATTTTCTGACATGAGTTATCGTCCCTATAAACCAGTTTACGATTATAATCTTGGATATCATTTGTCCTGACTCAGCACTCGCAATCTAAGATAAGTCTGGTTTTAATTGTTTCAGGTTTTGGCCTAACAACAAGAGTCGGATGTACTTGCTCGAGAATACTGGAGAGTTCGTGAAGTCGCATCACCTGAAAGAAGGGGATCTCTTGATTCTTTACAGGAACGAGCAGGGAAATTATGTAAGCTCTCTTACGCATCAGCCCAATGATGCTCTTCTTTGATCTTTTATGATACTCTGTGAGTGGCCTAATGATCTGAACTCCTGATCTCAGGTTCTTAGGGGAAAGAAAAAGGTACCCTCTGAGACGAGGGTAGCATATGGTTCACAGCATAGAACTGCACACAGCTTGGCTTGTAGGTTTTCCGAGGGGATTCCCAACAAAATTGAGGAGTCTTTCAAGGATAGAGACTTTGGAGGTGGGTTGACAGAAACAGCTAGCGGTAAGTTAAAGATTGAAGTGAAGGCAGAGCCGCTAGTTGTTCAACCATCGACTGATGGAGATAAGTTTGAAGACGTGATGTCGAACATCGGTTCTTCCTTTGCGACCGAAGGACCACTTCAACCATTGGAAAGGTTCCCGAGTTTGAATCTCGATTTCCCTCTTGATGAAATTATGGCGGGTATTCCGAAAGAGGAGGATAATGATCTTACAATTGAGCCACATATGGACTCTAAAGTGAAGACCGAGCCCGCAGGATGAATATGAACAGCTTGGGTGTGGTGGTGGGTTAGAGTGCGAGATGGATCTAACTGGTATTATTTGTGCATTGGCTGGGTTAGCACCACAGTTTAGCACCATTTATTTTCGCTTATCCTGTACATTAAGCCTTCATTTTCTGTTACAGGGGTGGATGTCCCAGCCTGATTTCCGTCTTTCGGAGAACCAGATCAATGTCGAGCCTGCAGGAGGATGCAATTACAAATTGTTTGCCATGACGTCGAATATCTGGGAATTCGATGCGGTTGATGTTGTTTTTGAGCTTTCGTCAATGGCTGCTATGTCTTGTAGAAAAATTTCTCAGTTACCTATGTCGTGACCTTGCTTTATGAATCACAGTTGATTTATTTTCTGCACTGGTTTTTGTTCTTCTAGCTCATGCCGCTTCGTGTATTGTTTACCTCCTAGTTACATCTGCCATTTTACAGCTCGTAGGTTCCGTGACGTTCCTCTTCACAGCCACTTTCTGTCTTTCTCATCTTTATGAGGGTATAAATTCCCAGTGGTTTTGTGAAAGTTGTGAACGTCTAGTACAACTCATAAATGATCAATGGTGGTTTGGAATGGACATATTAGTTTTGAATAAATTGCGGTTGTGAAGCTCTCTTGCGAGGTCGTGGTTATTGACCTCTTGGTGGTGAATTATGTGTGAGCAGCGTGCTCCTTTTCAAAGATTGTTGTCAGCGTGAACGCATTGCCGAAATGATTAGAAAAAACCTTTCTGAAGTGGAAGATCTAGTTGAATTATTGATTTGATGCACGAATCACTTATATCCTTGCATCAGTTTTAGAGGGTATTGTAATGGTTTTGTTGGTGTTCGGTTGAAGACTAGCAGTTCCGAATTGATGATTTTTTTTCTCATGAGAATAATAGTTGAAAGCTTGTTGTTGCACCTACCAGTACAGTGAAGGCGGTTGATTGAAGAGTGCAGACAGTGTACATTACAGAGTGACTCTTTTCACATTAGTATTAACATGGAATATTGAGATTTATTACGGAACTCTCTTACGAACCAAGCTCAATGACAGTTACAGTTATACACAGTGTGATTATATGAAAAACATATAATATGATATAATTCTAGAGTTTCTTCTTATATTGATGTCTTGCTTGTGAAGGTTCAGTTTTCTCTCCTAGTTTATCAAGACTTTTGACAACCTAGAAGCAAACAATAGCACGTTAGAAGCAAAAGATTGCATTTCAGAACCCAACCCTGAGGTTGAACAAAACACGTTTTTTTCAATATTCAGTCACTAGGGTTTTGATGCTGTTTCTTACATGTAAGCAAATATGGAAAAAGGTGCTTTAAGAGTAGTTATTGGAAAGGAGAATAAGAAAAAAAATCCATGATTAATTTTTAAACAAAGATATATGCATGCACACAATTTCATACATTATTCTATTACAACTCCTAAATTTAAGATTTTGATACAAAACACAAGTATGCATTAATTAAACAAATATAAAATAATTTTTTTGACACTTAAACAGATGCAAAATTGGTGAAAAAAATATAGTTCAAACTTTTACTAAATCAATCCAATGAGATGGATCAATGAAACGTATGCCCAAGTTCATTGTTTTGTGAATGTGGATTGGTAGTTTGATGTAATGAAGGTGCTTAGTGGGCTCCACTTTTGTATCTTTGCTTGATTTGTAAAAAGGTGCTTAATCCCTTATATGTAATTCTTATTTAGATGGGTCAATTTAGCAAAAAGAGTGAGTCAATTTAACAATTCCACATATATATTTATATATATCTCTATACATATAAATATATTTAAATTTTATAAATCATCTAAATTATTTTATTTGCATTCAAGTTCTATTTTTAATTTTATTAATTTTAAAGTATTTTTTTTCAAAAAACAACTTAACATGAAATCAAAAAAAATCAAGTGGGAAGGGGAGATTTTGAAAGTTGCTATAGCGGCACAAGACCACAACAAGGATGAAGTTGGTGTATAAATTGTGATGGAGCTTATAAACTTTGAATGTATTTTTGTGGAAGGGAATATTGCTGATTTTAACTGAAGCACATACAATTTAAGTGATCCATTTTGGCAAAATATTTATTGAATTTTCTTTTGTAGTTGTGGAATTTAGTAATTTGTTTTCAATGGTAGAACATCAATTATACAATGTATTTGTTGCAGTTCCCTTCTTCTTTGCAAAAGAGATTCTTTTGATGGTGAGCTTTTCATCTTTACTAGTCTTTTATAGTTATCTATGCGACGTGATAAGTCAGAATTAGTTGAACGAAAGGTGGTATAAGATTATATGCAATGTTTTGAAGAGTTGTATATGTTGAAAAAATTAAATATAGCTGGCGCCCTCCATAATATTTACTATAGTTTATAGTAAATACTATAGCTATGGTATTTGAAATATAGTGGAAAGAAACTCTTTATCTTCTTCCCTTCTCTTTGTATATAAGAGATAACTACATCAATACAAAAACTAAAAGCTTTCTTTGCTTCTATATACTCTTTTGTGTGTATGTGTGCACATTATATGTAGCTACTCTTGTGTCTTTCCAAAAATTGTCAACATATTATAAGCATGATTGCTCCTATGCACTAGTCTTGGTTCTTAAAAACTTGTATGCACCTTGTCCTTTGTTTATTTTATTTTATTTTATTTTTCTCTAATATTATATCTTTTTGTATTCTACTGCTTGCTTGTTGCTGCATCCTACTTTGTTGTGCTTGCTACTACTTATTGTTGCATCTCTTTGTACCTTGCTATTGCCATACTATGTCTTGTTTGCTACTTTACAAGCCTACTGTGTTCTATCATCGGCTGATGTGCCTTATTGCCAATTGTCATGTCCTATCAAGCTGCCACACCTTGTTGTCGAGTTGCTATGCCTTATCAAGTCTTGCCACTGACTACCGTATTCCACCACCTACCTTTGTTGTCTATTATTACCAATGCCAATTGTTACTATCCTTTGCCACTACTACCACCATCTGCAACTATTGTCGCAGTCCATAGTAGACCCTTGTTTTGTAAAAAAATAAAAATAAAAATAAAAATAAAATCTTTCCAAATTATTAATATTTTTGATTTTAAGTTCAACTTTATCATTTTATTTGGCTTAACATTTCAAGGTTTATTTTACTTAGCTTTTTCTACTTAATCTTGTATTTTTTTCATAGATTTATTTATAATGAGTGTTTTAACATCTTCAACGACCTCTACTATGGTTCCAACTATCACCACTACATTCCAACATTTTCAAGCTCTTCCATTTCTATAATTGACTATTAATCAAAATAATTATTTATTATGAAAAAAAATAAAAAAAATAAATTTATTTACAAAAAAATAATTGAATGTAATTTTATTTGAAGAATCTCTTATTGTAAGTATTTCTATTTTTCTTGCTAATTATTGGAAAGTACTTCTTTTCTTTCATCATCATCTTGTACTTGCATTGCTACATCAATATTTGAAAATGGAAGATCCAACCAAGCTTTAGGAGAATCTTAAATCCAGGTTTGATCATCAAAAGACCATTTTCCTTCTATGTGTATATTATGATTGGACACATTTATATATTTTGGATTTTCTAAATTTAAATTCTTTTAATAGTAAAATATATTATATTATGTCATGACTATAATTGTATAGATAAAGCATCTTTGAAGAAAAAATAATTGAATAAACTCTCTTTACATTTCCTCCCGCATCTATTATGCTTGCACAACAATATAAGAACATAAAATTTTAGAGTCATTTTGATTTCATGTCCTATCTACTTCTTGCGGAGAAACAAAATGACCTACTCTTATGTAATGCAGAAGCTCATCCTATTGGAACAATGGTTCCAAAATCTCATGTACTTAATATTTTAAAGTTTAAGAAAAAATTAAAAAAAAATGAAATAGGTGCTTATAATCACCAAGGCAGTCATAGTTATGACCATTTCTATCTATATGGAAAGAAAAAAAGTTCTACGACTAATTACAATAGAAAATAAAAATTAAAGATGCATTCTTGCCATAAATATGAGATGATTGGATATTTATCGATGTCAATGGTTATCACCTATCAATTGCCATTCTAAATAGGCAAGAGATTTTGATTCTTGCACAAAACCATAAAATTATTGAGAAAGCCTTTACTATAATAAATAGTTTATATTAAATTGTAATCCAGCCTCTTATTATATTTAACTTTGTATCATCTATTACAAAGAATTATGTTTTTTTCTAGCATGGACAATTGGAACATTTAGGATCTACATTATTTTAGAAGATAATTCCACATATAATTCGGCAAAATTTAAGACCTTAGATGTAAATTATGTAAAATTATATCATGCATATATGTAAGACAAGATGATTGCTTGGCTTTTAATTTTGAAACTCTAATGAGAGTTACCACCAATCCTTAAAAGATTGTATGGTGATATTTGTGGTCATATTAATCCAATATTTGGACCATTTTATTATTTTTTGGTCTTTATTGATGCATGAGACGAAGAATCACATATTTCATTATCATCAATTCAAAACATGGTATTTTTTAATCATATACCTATGCTTATTTATATTCAAGTGTCACAAATATATACATGTAAAGCAATAATTACTTATATGATTTAGATAATAATAGATAAAAATAGGTTGATTCCATAATATCTTATATAAAAGCTTCTTAAAAGCTTTATAGATGCTATTTTGACTTTATAGATATCTTTAATTAAATTTTTAGGTTAAAAACGTGGTCAATAAGTTGGCCATGTGCTACACATGTTTGTAGCTTGAAAAACAAGCTAATTATGTGGTCCATAGGTAGAAAACTTGCCTTGTAAGTTAAAGCATGTATCTTACAAAGTCAATACATATTAGAAGACCTATAAAATATCACCATATAGCTCTTAGTTAGATAGTATATATAGAGGCAAGAATGAAGCCTTTTTCACTCTTGTCAATTCTTTTCTTGCTTCTAGTCTAGATTTAAGAGTCTCTAGTTTCTTTGTCATTTGGTAATAGCCATTCCAATTTCTTTTTAATATACATACTACTTTATTTCTATTTTTTCACTTTTCTTTTGACATAGTTTTTTGAAGTTTATGCATCTTCTTCCAATTCATGTCCTTGATAGATTAACAAGAATATACTTACGATATTAGAGCTTTGTCTTTTTTTGATTAAGAGTGGATTACCTCTTTTTCTTGATATGATATAAACATATTAGAAGTTACAAATTACCTTCTTCTAAACTAATAATGTTCTTAGTATCTTCTTTATTCTCAAGTCCCGTCTTTTACTTGTCTTGAACAATATTAGATATTTATTTTCAAAGTATTATCATGGTAGAGCTTTTTGAAATGAAGAATGTAAGAGCAATTGAGGGAGTTAATGCTTGTGATGCATTAACTCAGTTTACCACCACAAGGAGCAACAAGAATGGCAGGAAGTGAAGACATAGATATGATTGAAGGTGCTTCAATATATGCACCTAATTGTGTCCTTTTTCTTATGATGAAACATCCTTCTGGTACTAAAGAACCAAGAGTTTCCTTGCGTGAAAAGTTTAATAACACAAGGTCAAAGTTTCAAGGATTTATCAATCAAGTATAACTTTT